CATAATAATATAGGGAAGATAAGACAGTATGCTGAAACCTTTTTTTTTTTGCCTCTCTGCTGACAACCATTAAGTGCCATTTAGAGGACTTGTGGTTAGGGTGAAGGAGGTCATTTTGACCCTCCATTATGTTTCCCTGTCCCTGACACAAATGTAAATACGTGTCCAATAATCAAGTGATCGTGACGTATCGGTTGTTTTAATGGCACTGGAGTCCGACAGGCTGCTGGGGAATGAAGGGGTTAAGGATGGTGGAGAGGGTGCGGCTGGGTCGTCGGGTGCAACAGTCATGTCCAATCTAATCAGAGAGGCCATTTTGGGGCCTAGTTTGACCCTAATGGCAGTTTCCTCTGAGGGGATGGATGGGGGGGGGGATAAAAGCCCTATTGTAACATGAAGAGTAATCCTTGTATGGTAAATTCTGACACATGTATGACCAGGTCATCCTGCACACTGGGCATGGCATCCATCAGCAGCTGGTGCAGACTGTGTCTGAAGACTGTGTCTAAAGCTTCTTTTAATGCCTCAGATAGAAAAGTATTTGTAATTGCTTTGTGAGGTCAAAGGAACTTTAATAGGACTATTAGGAGTTATTACCTGCAGCTTGTCTTTGTCTGTCAAGATGCTATGAAGTGCTGCTCAGTGTTGTCAGTTGTACAGTGTTGAGTCCAACTGTATTAACTGGAGGTAATGAGAGTAAAATTATGGCTCCTTAACCTTTTGTGAGGAAGAGGAAAAGCCTCCGCCTCTGCTGCTGCTTTTTTTTTTTCTTACTTACCCCTCTGCTCGCTGAAAGCTAATTTTTTTTCACATGTTGCCGTCGTTTGTTACCTTTGGCCCGTTTAATGTTTCCATAAGGGGCGTGCACCACCTCGCACAATTAATGTTTCATATTTTTAGCTGCCCAACTCAGGAGGGAGAGCGGTCTTGGTAAATATTTCAACAGCCATTTTCCTAAACGCACTAGGATAAATTGCTTGTTTCCTCTACTTTAACGTGCAGCGAACACACCACATTGTTCATTTCTATATCCTGTTCTGTGGCCTCCATTGTTCTGCCCGGCACAGGCGGCTCATTGTAGGAGAGCGTGTGACATCGTCTGACAGGGAGGCCTGTTCCACACATGATGCTGTCTCGCAGATGTGGACCCTCAGCCCTGAAGGAGGGGTGGTGGCCAGTAACACACCATTTGCTGTGACCTCTGAACCTGTCCTTGTTAAGCCCTTGACGCCAAAGATGGGCTCAGGAGGGAACTCCAACCACTCCCCACCGCCGTTTCCCCAAACAGCTACATGTTGTACTTGCCCATGGCTAATGGCATGACACACACACACACACACACACACACACACACTCACGTGCTTACAGTAGGTGTCCTAAAGGACAGTGGTTGATGGAGGATGACAGCTCCTCAACACACACCCTTTGCCCCAACCTTCAAGCAGTGGGTTTCTATGTGTGTGTGTGTGTGTGTGTGTGTGTGTGTGTGTGTAGCATTTTCCCTCCTGAGCTGACAGCTGCTACCTCCCTCCCTCCTGCTCTCCTTCTTCTTCTTCTCTCTCTCCGCTCCCTGTTCTAGCCTGTCTGTCCATTTGAAGGTAACAAGACTCTGCACTTTGCAGCCATCCCTCTCTCCCATCCCTTTCTCTTCCTCTCTCACTTATATGATTCTCAATAATCTAATGCTACAGCTGTCCGATGGCCAAGTCCCTAACCCTTGCTTTTGCTTCCCTTCATTGTCAAAGAGGCTGTTAGATTTTTGGCCACAGATCAGGGGCTCCCAGCCCTCCCTCTGACATGGGAGGAGGGCGGGAAGGGAGTGGAGAGAGAAAGTGAGAGAGAGCAAGCTAGGAATGAGTGCCATGGAGAGCTGAAAAGCCTTGTTGCTTCACCACTCCACTGGTTACCAAGGGATCAACAGGGTGCTAAAAGCACTCAGGGGAGGAAGAAATGGAGGGTTTTTAGAGAAGGGGGAAAGGCGAGATTCAAAGAGAAAAGACAGGGAGAGTGAAGGAGCACAGAGAGATGGATGTATATTTAGCCTGTGTTTCTCCTCTGCTGTCACTCACTGCTCAGCTTTGCCACAGACAATAAGGGGGTTGGCAGTGAATATAAAGGGCGATGACTTCTTCTCCCACCCCTGGCCACAAGGAGACAATGACCCCTGCAATACTGACTCGACACTCAGTCTGTTGTGAAGTCAACAGCTATCCTGAAGGACTTCACCGCTTGCAACATCAGTCTTAACAAGTCAGTGTTAGCAAGTCAGCGCTCGGGTTTGCGGTGGAAATTGAAGCATTCAGATATGAGAATGAAAACATTCCCGTTAGCTGCAGGAAATGTGATTTTAATATTGAGAAACACTTGCACTAACAACACCAGTGGTGTAAGATGGGTTTTATTTGTTTTAGTGAGACAATATGACAATATGTTTCAGTTTAGAGGTACAACATATTAGCACATTTTTCATGAAAACATTACATATCCTGCCAGAACACAGTGAAATGATTCCGCTTCAATACCCAAAGTAGTTCGACTGCTCCACAGATGTCCTTGGAAGGAAAGTCAATATCTGAGCGGGGTGTGTGTAAGGCAGATCACTGCACTTCTAGTCAAGGAGAAAACACTTTTTGTTTTTCTTTCACTCTGTTTGCAGATTTTGTTTTTTTTTTCTGCTTGTTTTAGCAGAGCAAGATTTTAACCATGAGGCTGATTTAAAGACGGTGCTCTGCAATTCTCCGAGCCCTTCTTCATCTTCCCTCTCCCGTTCCTCTTGTTCACAGCTCATTCTGCTCTCCGCTCTCCTCCTCCGTTGCCAGCTCGCTCTGATTTGCTCACTCTCTTTTCTTTAGTGACATTTTCACAGTTCCTCCTCGTTTTTTCACACCTGAATAGAAATATCACAGACATCTCACCTTGTTCTGGTGCCGCTCTGATATCTACTTTTGCCATTCTATGGTAATATTACCTGTCAAATTCACATTCTGAACCTGCTTGCACTTTGCTTTTGGCCCGTTGCAGATGATTGATCCCTTCACCTCAGCACTCTGATGGTAATAATCACAGATAGAGTGGCTTCTCCTTTGTCTGTACTTGTTCTTCATTCCATCACATCACATCCCTCTAGTTTTCCTTCCATTTAATCAGGACGATGCTTAAAGAGGAAGAGAGATGCAGTCACTTGCCGCCTACAGGAGCAAACTAACAGAGAGGAGACTGTTGCTGGGAGCTACTGTTACTGAAGTTAATTACATGTCACTTTCAGTGATGATACACTGTGAATCAGCTTGCCTCTCTGATCACTCTGTTGTCTAATGAGCCACAGATGTCAAGCACCATCGCCTCCCTCATTTGGTCACCGAGTATGAAAATGCTCTCTTTTTTTTTATTTACAGTGAACATATTCCTTTGGCATTCAGACCTCACTTTCTGCCAATCCTCTGTTATAGCATATACTTATGTGGTCTTATTTATTTTTGCTTTACCTGTCTCCTCCACCACTCGCCCTCTCGTCTTTATTTATGGATTCCCACAGGTGGTCCTGTCCTTTGTGCAGAGGATAGTATTTTTGTATTAAAAAGGATCCCGCCAACCCTCCTGAGGGGTTTTCATAAAAAGCTTTGTGAATAACATGCCCCACGAGGCGCCCAGGACCTCAGCTGACACGTAATTAAAGGTGGGGGGGGGGGTACTGGTCTGGACTGACTCATTTTCATACGGGACAGTTCGAGAGGGGGGGGGGAGGACAGGTAGGGTGAGTGGAGGTCTCCAAAGGCAGATTGCTGATGAAATTTTCATGCCCCCTTCGCACCTTATCCACCTGACTAATAAATAAATCGGGGACAGAGCCTGCCTCTGCGCCACTCCTGCACGTCGCCACAGATATCCTGGCCTCTGAAAAAGGGTTGAATTCATTTCAGTGAAGCAACCAGAAAGGCACAAGACCTATTTGGATGTGCTTGACATTTAAGTAAAAGAGAGAGAAAGAGGAAGGTGATGGGGTGAGGGCGGGCAAATAGCGGTGGCTAACAAAGCGTTTCAGCAGACCCTCCCAAGGAGGCGATGGGCTGTCTGGATGCTGACAAGCTCACCAATACACACACACACGCAGAAACACACACGCACACACACACACACACACACACACACACACACACACACACACACACACACAGCTACTAACTGGAGTGGAAGCCGAAGCTGAAATTTTCTTTCTCCTTTTTCAAAATGGAGGAACTGGGATGTTCAGCATGCTTGTCACTTGTTGATGAACCTCCCGCTCTCTTTCTCTAACTCGCCCTCAACAGACGATGATGATTAGTTGAAAATGAACCCTGTGTTATTTTCTACATACAGCATGTCATCACTGCGTGGAAGGGCCCTGCTCGGTCTGTACCGTCCCCATAAACAGAGCTCAGATAAAGATTTTGTCCCCCATTAAGGGGAGCATGAAGCCGCTGTCTCGTCCCAGAGCCTAGTTAAGTCCTCAGACGTCTGGCTTGCCTGTAAAAGCCACCGCCTCTCAGGCCCGCTGCCTAATGGCCCTGAAGGAAGATGAGTAAATGAAATGAAGAGAGTGAGAGAAACAGATGACAGCAAGCACGACCACTTCCCTTCACTCGAGACCTCATCGCATCTCTGCAAGTACCCAGCAGCGGTGCCACGCCCTGGGCCAGACCTGATTGATTGAGCTTGAGCAATTGATCAGGGCCACTGTGTCACTAACAGTTACTGAGGTTTTTTGGGCTGGGGAGGGATGCTCCTGCTGCAGCATCAGGACCCCAGTCTGTCCTCTACTGAAAGTCTCCTTTGATTTAGAACAGAGGTAATTGTATTAAAAGCCAGGGGAGAGATATAGGCAGGAGAGGAGGGGGTGCAGGATGCAAGCACAGCCAAACAGAAACAAGGACAGAGGGTGTGAGCTTTTTTATAGACCTCAAACTGTTTTTTTAATGATTTATTTTCTTTTTTCTTTCTTTCTTTTTAGGAGGAGCAGGAAGAAGAGCAAAGGAAACGAGAAAGGAGGATTGAGCGGATAGAGCCAGTAGGAAGGGCCGACTCCTCATTGGAGCATTCACCGGTGTTAAGTCTAGAGTGAGTGGCCACCCAACAAACCCCCCCCCCCCGACCACTTATATACCACACAGTATATCTGAAAACGTTGGTTTACCCAAATTCCAAAAAAAACCAAACTTGCTCACCTACCCCCTCCTGGTAAACAGGAGTATCAGTGTTATTCATCCAAACCTCATCCAACCACAGCAATAGAATTGTGTTTGCAGTCCTCACTGCTCTGAACAATTAGATTTAAAAATCATTGCTGTGTTTTTCTGGAAACAAATGAAGCTAGAACTGTCTGTAAGGCTGTATATGACCAGAGGTAAGGGAGGGAAATAACATTTTTGTAATATATTCCAAAAAATACCAGAGATGGGGATATACTGTATGTGAGAATACCAGCATTAAATTACCTCTACATAATCATATCATATATCTTCATCGTATGACAATGGCAACACAAACCTCACATCCACACCGAGGCCTTCCTCCATCAAAATCACCACACACATCTACATATACGGTTACTTGTGTTCCTTTGTCTTCACGTCTTTATCTCCACAAATTAACCTCCTCCCCCTCCTCCTCCCTCCTTAACACATTTTCAATTAATTTGTTCTCTTTTAGCACAACAGTCTGATCTTAATCACTTAATTGGAGTCTCCATTTGGGTCCCTAATCGACCCTGAGGTCCACCAGCCTGACTTTGAAATGGATGACTTTGTATAGGCAACACAATGCAGCTCCACCAATAAAGCTGCACCCCCCCCCCCCCAATCCCATAACACCTTGTCATGTTTTGACCGTGTTGTCTTTTATATCCTGCTTTTCTGCATTTTCTTGTCATTCTTGTTATTTTTTATTCATGCATGTCGTCTCCCCCTGCCCCCCCCCCCCCCCCCCCCCCCCTTCTTTTCGGCCACATCCATCATCGTCCCGCAGAGGCATGCTCAAGCCGGTCGAGGTGTCCAATGAAGGAGGGCCCCTGGGGATCCACGTAGTGCCTTTCAGTTCGCAGGATGTCAGGTAAAAGAAAGGAGAGAAATCTGGGAATCAATGCAGCTTAGTGTACAACAATAGCTGCTTAGTTTCACCATCCAATATGTCTCCTGCAGCCTTTGTGTCGAAGCCCAGTGGATGTTGCTCTCTTTTTGCTTTTACGCACCATTTTACTCATTTTTTTTCTCACTTTCTCTAACTCTTTATTTTTTGTTCTTTTCTTATTCATCTTTTTCTACATGTTACTCTAGGCTGTCTTTTTCATTGACTCCAATTCTTCTGGCTATCTTTTTTTATTTCTTTGAGCCTCACTGCTGAAACTACACACCAACACCCATCACTGCTCACATCCCACAGCTCAGAAGCCCCCAGTGGGAAGGAGAACAGATGAAAGTAGTTTTGCTCTTGACTGCACAGTTTTTCCAAGTCTTCTTATGCTTTTCTTTTATTCTAACCTATGTCACAGTGGTGTCCCCTCTGCCTTCAAGGTGATTCACACTGCTTCCTTTTGCCTTTTTTGAGCCAATGTCGTTGACGGGGGGACAAGAGGTGTAACACTCCCCAGTTTATGGTTTATTTCTAGAAAAAAAAAAGGAAAGAGAAAGTGGCCAGATGTAATCAAACTAAAAGCCTGTGTATAACACAGATCCCTGCTGCACGCCAAGGGACTGGCACGCCACCAAGGTGAATGTGACTACTCAGTGCTGGAGGAGGGAGGCAGGGGACTGAGGTGAAAAGACGGGGCGAGGAGATGAAATGGGATGACGATGGCTGTCATTGAAGACTGCTGCATGTCATTTCTTTGGGACACTAATCCCATTGCTGTTTATAAGCAAGTGTCAGGAAACTATATTTAGCTCTGACCTCGTGTGATTGACTCCCTCTCAGAAGCTGTGACACTTTGAGTTATCCTGAGTCAGAGCAGGAAAATAATGATTAATGGTGAGTGGCAGCAAAGTAAATGGAGCGTTCATAAAACTTCAGTGAGCAATATTGCTTAAGTAAAGTTCAAATCCAACAATTTATTAGACACACTATTGTCCTTAAGCTACTCTGTGTGCCCACAAACTCGGACTGCATCTTGTAAGATATAGCAGTGATGCTGCACGGCCAGTAAATTTCTTCTCCATCAGCTAAGGACGCCACTAATAGCTATCAGAGCCTTCAATTAACTTCAGACATGATAAGACTTAGCGTCTGGTCAGTAGGATGATGCTAATGGCCTGGCCCGGCTCTTTCCTGTGCACTAGGACAAGAAGCATTAGGCTCAGCGGGCTGTCATTAGTGTCTAGACCAGGGACGCAGGGGTCAGACAGCCAGCAAAACCAGACAGCAAACGAGGAGCTGCAGGCGCTCCAGCATCGGCTGCCTGCATTCTGCTTCGCTGCTCTGACATCAAGTTAGATCCAAGCAGGAGGGGAAGACATCTGCAGGAGAGAGCTTAGAGACTCTGTCACTCCAGCAGACAGTATCTCTCTGTCTCTCTCTTCCACACACACACGCTCACACAGACACACACCCGAAACGCACAGATCCTTATCTGAAAATGAACTTACACCCGTGCAACTGTGAGCAGTACGGTGTGACTCCGAGAGGTGTATTCCAACACTGTCTCCTGCTGTCTTCCTCTTTTTATTGCACACATGCAAATAGTTACTGAGCAGTGCTGATCTACCTTGGGTGCTGTGCTGTGTGCGCACATAAATAAACTGCACACGCACACACTCACACACAAATGCACACACAGCCTCGCAGATACATTCTCTGCTTAATGAACTTCTCATTCCATGACCAGTTTTAATTGTAAACAAACTGCGGACATAATTGCTGTGCACAAATGGATCCTGATTGGATTATTATTTGATTAAAGGCAGTAGAAGAGAGCAGGTGGCCTCCCTTCAAATCCTCTCTCAGCACTGCTGCCCAGCCACAAGATGGAGTAAAGCCATCGGACAATGCCGTTCCTCGTGTTGTATAGAGAGTAGGACCCTGCCGAGCCTCATACAGTGTTTTTCTCCACAGTCTGCAGAGAATCTTCTAACTACAAACTCCTTGTGCTTATATCTGACGCCTAATGAACTCACTGACTTGCAGCCTATGAGAATGCCATTAAGATTATGCTTCAGCTCTCCTGCTTTCCCCAAAGTAACTGATAAGTATCTACAAAAAAAAAAAACCCATCAGTGAGACGGGAAGGAATTGAGAGGGTGGCAGTGCATTACAGTCATCACAATAATGGTGCTTTTATGAAATCATCATCTTCTTCAAATCCCTAAAAGATGCCGTTTTATCCCCAATCCTCCCAACTGCTGCTTTGAATACTGATTAGGGATCAACCAAAACTCCTTTATCTCCTGTCTCTGGTCTGCTACCAGATCAGAAGTCATTAGAGTGTGTCCATGCTGTATCTGTGCGCGCGATACTTTGTTTTCGAGCTGCCAACACTTATGGAGATAAAGCACAATCATGTCCACTTCCACCCCACCCGCAATTACTCTCCGTTCAACACACTTAAGCTGACCTGGCAGCGCCGTCTCAGACACTGAGAAGGAGGGGAAAGGCCTTTTGTGAGCTTTAATTTCAACTTAACGCTGAACCATTCACCCCCATGGAGCAGCTGAGATGAGTCTGCGGCGTGAGCGTGGATGTCCACATTATGCAGCCAATTAGAGCAATGTTCTGAGAGTGGCCCTGTTTGGCTCAAATGCTAAAGAGCTCTGCAAAATCTGCCCCTTGATGTCTGCGGCAAACAGGGTCACAGTTTTTAAATGTGCTGTTGTTTACGTGTCCAGCGACATGACACATAAACAACAGCACTTACTCTGCCGCTGGGAGGAAATAACAGGAAATCACCAAAAGCTCGCAGCACATGTCCTTGCCGCAGATAAACTGTTGATTGCAGTGTGAATTGCTGTATCTTTGGTTGGCTTCTTAATGGTTTTGGCTGTGATATATTTCATCATTTATTTTTCATTTCCCAAAAGTAAGCCTCCATACTTTTTTTTTTTTCGTCAGTTTATGCAAGGACACCAAACGTTTGCGCTCAGCCAGTTCACCTGCTTCCTCAGGCATCTGGCACCTGAGAGACGGATGGAGTTTGTAGTTCTGCTGTGCGAGCGCACATCAGATATCTTTGCATGTGTTTATCCTCAGGGCCTAACTATAGTCCCACAGAGCTCACTGATGTATTTATTTAGAGGAGGGGGAGAGGGGTGGCGTATCTGAAGGTAAAGGTTGCCTTTTTTTTTTTTTTGAAGGCGATTGCTGCGATGGCACTGCTGTGGAAACAGCTCGGGTATCTATTACAGCACTGCGGTGTTTCCTCAGACGCCGTGAGATGATCTCTTATAGCTGCTGTTCTGGATTACCTCAGGCAAGCCGGCCCGTCATTTCCTCAGACCGGCCCACAGACAGGCAGTCAGAGCGGAGGACAGAGGGACGGACAGAGGCTTAAAATTGCGTTAGTAACGCATTGCTTCTCCAGGCCGCAGGAGAATCCAGGTCTTTATCCAAGCTTAAAGTTAACTTTTGTTGACAGTAGAGCACGAAAGTAATAGGGATAAACTCACTTTGGAAACTTACTTACTTTCCCCAAAAAACTTTTCATGTGTCACAGCAGCTCTTTGTTGCTGGTTGATTCATATACTGTATATATAGATGGATAGGCAGGATACTGGGAGGAGAAAAGATGTAACCAAGTAATGATAGTGAACCACACCTATATCCTATGTCAGAATGGGCACCATGAAATCCAAATAGTGACAGTGATTCAGATGAGGAATTTATCTTATTACAAAAATGCAAACAATTTGAATGGTTCAAATTAAATACTTGAGCTATGATATTTTTTTACTTATCATTAATTGATACATATTTTTGCTTTATTATGTAGGCGCAAAATTTTTTTTAAACTTAGTTATTATGTGAATTCCCAAATATCACGTGTTGGCTGTTGGATGTCACATGAGAGCCAACTGAGAATTTAACAACAAAGGTGCATTGCATTGAAAAAGGCATGATCAACACCTCAACGTACGATTGACCGAGCCCACCTTGTCATTGAGTCAGCAGCTGTCGTTCTTTTGTTTGCCTGACAGTATACAAAGCAAGTGTGGGTGGAAGTGTTTGGAGAACAACCATGTTGGTGTCTTCTCTCCGTTCTGTGTGAATTAAAGAGATTCTATTTTCTATCTCACCGCATCTTTAATTCTTCTGAGACTCTCAACATTCAAGGAGAATTTCTTTCACAAGTAACAAGTGATACGTACTGCAGCAACCGATGTCAGTTTTGGATATTTAAAACATTTAGTTCATATTTTGGATAATGCTCATCATTAATTCTCACGTTTTCCCTCCTCCAAACCCTCTGTTCTACACCTCTGTACGCTGTCTCTACCTCTCTTATGCAGGGGACGAGGCTTGCAACTGCCCGCCCGCTGTTCAGCGTATCGATATGTGACTGCATATGGTGTGACTGATACGGTACGTTTTCTATCTGTAACCTGTTGTGTGATGATTTGCAGGACTCAGGGTTTGCTCGTGAAACGTCTGGAGCAGGGAGGCAAAGCTGAACAGGAGCGTCTCTTCCAGGAGAATGACTGCATAATCAAGATCAATCAGGGAGACATCCGCAACCTGCGCTTCGAACAGTAAGCTCGAAAAAGTCGGCCTTATACTGATGATTGTAAATTTTCTGCTTCCAGTAGCTTTTCAAATACTGTGATTTCAGTTTCTCATCTTCTTGTTAGCTGCACTGGATACCGTGCTGATTTAAAATTTTCCTTCACTATCTCCTATGAAAACTGGGACACACAGTGTGATTCTGAAGCTCTGTCCACTGTGCGATACGCAGTGGAAGTGCTGCGTTAGACATTAGGTGCGGTGACAGTAAATAGTGTTGATAAGTGGAGCCCAAGCTGCAGAGAGACGTGACAGCCACACAGCTGCACAATAAAACAGAAATATTACTGACTTGTTGGCCTTCCTGTAATAGGCCTCAGTGACCTGCAGTCCTTCACCACCGCTTCGCCCTCTGATCCAAAACTGCCCTACACTTTCCTCTCCATTCATTTCTATGGATTCATCACTCCCCTTCATTTCCTAAAGTGGAATGAAGATACAATCCTGGGAGTTTTCTCCCCATTTACCCAAAGCCACCCTTCTCTGGCACCCGCGCACATACGTCCGAATGTGCGGACTCTCACACACACTTGCACATGCTCTGACACACATGCAGTGACACCGAACTATAAAGTCTTATCTACACCCCCTGTGTGTGTGTGTGTGTGTGTGTGTGTGCGCGCGTGCGCGATGCGTGTGCCAGGGTGAGAAATAGATTGCTTCTCCTCCAGGCTGGGTTCTGGAGGCAGTGCAGCGGAGGTGGTCGGCTCGGCTCTCTCGCTTATCATCCGCTCCTCCACGGGAAGAAATAGCCTATATTCCTGCTAACGGAGGTCCAGCCTGCAGTCATACTGGGCCGGACGTAGCCACCGTGCTGGATGGCTGACTGAAATGATGTTTGGAATTCCTCTGCGTTCAGAAGTAGAGTCAGGAACGACCCATTTTTTTCTCCTCTTGAACCAATCTACCTTTGTCTTCGGCAAAGTTAAGAAACGCTCTCCGCCAGCTTTTAAAACTCCTTCTATCAGTTACCTCACCACATTATGCTAATGTGTTCATCAGACTGTGTACAGAGCCACTAAGGTTTTCACATTCTTCTTTTTTTTCTTCTTTTCAAAACAATGCTGTTGTCATTAGTAAACATCCCAATTTCCTCCCAAACCTTTTCTACTGTGAAAGAGGATTTCGAACCAAATCCACGAGGGAGTGATGTGATGTTTTTTAGCGTTCCGCACTTACCCTCCTCTGCCAAACACACACTCCTCACCAGCATGAGGTGAAGGAGCTAAACTTTTCTCTCCATCTGCCCCCCCCCACCCCCACACACACACACACACCCCCCTTGATTGTGCGCCACACAGAGCGACAATTTAAAGTGATAGTCTAATCTCTTTGGATTGTTTTGCATGGATAAATATTTTGAGGCGCTTAGTCTAACTGAAAGTAATGATGCATTGATGGGGTAATTTATTATTCAATCAGGCTTGCGTGGAGGTTGATTACTGGAGTGATGGCACTGTATATGTGCACGTGGAAACATTTGCGCACAACAGCGCACATGCGCTCGCTCAGTCATCGCCCCCCTCAGCGCGCACATCTGGGTGATTTTTGTAAAAATTCCAATAAGAATAAAGATGGGAGAAACCAAATCCCGCCGAAGTGCATTCACATCTCGCCTCTGTGACACCGTTTGAATGAAGTGCTGTGTGCTGGGGTGGAAGAAACTTAGCGGCTGTCATTTGGATAGAATCAGCATGGTATTACTGGCATGGTAATGGGGGAAAACAGGAGTCTGGGGTAGTTGGATTCCAGACATCCACCAAACCCCTTGCGCTGCTGCGTGGCTCGCTTGTGGCAAGCCTATCTATATGCTAAGTGCCGCCGACAAACCAGACTAAACAACTCCTGCTCTGGGAGCGATGTTGAGCTCTTGTCTTGGCTTATTTAGACCGAAAATTCACATGAGACCCAGTGTGTGTTTTGGCTTTTTTCTTCTTCTTATTTTGTCTAAGGAATGAAGTGCCTGTCTCCTTACTTTGGAAGCTCATTGTCTGGAAAGCCTCCCTGATGCATGATTCATCATCTCTGTTGTGATTGTTGAGTCAACTCATGTCCATTCATCTCTAACTGCACAGACGCACACAAACACACGGACTACTACTGTAGACAGAGTTAGGTACTCTACATACAGTATATTTCTCTGGAATAATATAGAATACACGATATATAATACTTCATTCACCTTCCTTATCTCTCTCCTGTCTTGATGCTGGTAATTATAGATAATGTATTTTCTCTTCTCTGGTGTTATACGGTGAGTAGCCCTGTGTTTAGCCATGGTAACCTCAACTCTCCCTACCGCCTCTCAACATGCAGTACATCATAACCTTCCTTATCCCTCTATATCTGCCAAGCTATGATAGTACATTATTGTACTAGTATCTCTTATCATGTTGAAGCTAAATCATTTCTGTCTGCATGACCTCCACGCTCCATCTGCATCACCTTCCAGAGCCCAGAACATTTTCAAGCAGGCGATGCGCTCCCCGGTCATCCTCTTCCACGTGGTCCCCGCAGCCATGAAGAGGCAGTACGAGCTGCTGTCAGGCCAGAGCGAACTCAGCCCACACCAGTCCAACAGAGTCTACTTCAGCCAAACCTCTCTGCAGGCGGGGGAAAGGTCCAGTCTAGTGGGGGGGCCGGCGTCCAGGCCTGGACCACAACCTGGCCTCAATCACAAGTAGGTTTGACCTTCTTTTTGTTTCTGTGCAAGAGTTGCCTCATATGTTCTGGTCCCCACAGCGAACATTTTGTTGTTGTTTATCCTGCAAAGGATGTTGAAAGACAGTTTCTGACATAGTTTCTGCCTAATTCCACGGGGGTCTGCATGAACCCATGTGCATGTCTCTGTGCAGCCCAAAATTTGAGAGCATGCAGAATGTCCGCGCCGCATGATGCGTGCCGAATGTGCATGCACCAGAAAAACTGGGCGCTCCTGTGCTGTTCATATGTCATGATGTATGTACTGTCTTCCACAACCTTGGTGCTATTCTTGTTGAGCTGTTGCACACACTGTTTTCTATTTTTGACTTGTTCATGTCGTTCAGCCAAACACAAGATACACAGTAGCTCTTCTTTGTGCTGTTGGGAGATCGACCACAGTTTTTTCTAGTGCACTTGTATAGAAAATGTCCACCTTCCGATCATAGCGTGTATAGAAGCCACGCAAATTGGCTGTCCACGTGAAAGTCTGCAGCTGCATCCGCGGTATGTTCAAGGCATTAAGACATCTGCAGGGCTGTCCTCAAGCATGAAATGAAAGTTGCCCTTCTGATTGGATAAATTAGATAAAACAAAAATTTTATATCTAAACAGTCTCAGGGTGCCGCAGTTTCCAATGCACGCCAATTGCGTTTTAATAATATCTTCACTCTGAATCCATCGTAGTTTAAAAGCTCCACAATAAAACGGAGCAGTTTCATAAGAGTTTCTACCTGACACCTATCATCTCATTAACAGCCAATTTGGTATATGCCAGTGATTACTGTTAATTTCTGTAATGCCTCTGGCCTAACTGCAGAAAACTAAACATGTTGGTGTTCAAGTAGGTCTGTGTCATTGTACTTTACAGTATAGCAGTATATAGTATAGTATATAGTTTGGGATATGTTCAGTTTCAAGCAGCATTTATTATTGGCTCAAAATAAAAAGAAATAAAAACATCTTCCAGTGACATAAGACAGACGCAGACACAGAGTGGATGAATCCAGTTAGCAGAGCACAGCATCAGAGCACAAAGTAACCACTCCAACGCTGCAAGCAATTTGTCAACCGATAAATTATTGACTGGACAACTGCATTTTGACCAACCCATTGATCCAGGCTACATGTTTGCACTTGTCCACTGCCAACACCATCATTATTACAAATAGGGGCTTGAAGTTATCCTGATGTTTATTCAGAAGTTTTTCTGAATATGATTTTGCAGAATATCATGATGAAAACATTCACGTTCCTGTTCAGATTGCTGTTGAAATCGATGTGTTATCATTTGTAAAATGATGACCTATTACTAGTGAATTCACAAACACACAGAAGATACCAAAATGATACGAAAGAAATACTGTTTAATTTTCAATCCTATTACATTACAATTTATTTTAGTAGGTAAAAGATGGTTGTCTTGCTCCTGTAGTCACCAGGGTCCCCTGGCAGGAAGCACTCCGGAGCCGAGCCGAAGGTACACCATGTTATCCCACACCATGGTCACCAGGACGGCGTCGGCCCCCTCCCCCTCCCTGCAGCGCAGGATAAGCACGAACCCGTCCGCCAGCTCCTACCTGAAGAACAAAGGGCGCAGACTCAACATCCAGCTGAAGAAAGGTGAGAGCCAGCGGTCACATGGCTGCATGGTCGTAAAAGTGAAGATCTTTCAGCATTTTCATCAGAGTAATAATCAAATCCATGATGTGGCTTACTTTAGCAAATGGAAGGAGTAGTCACGTGGACGGTGACAGTGGCTTGACTCTGTCTCTCATCCTCAGTGAGTCAAAGGAACAAAGGGCCGTCTCATCACATGTATGAATGTATGTTCTCCAGAGTAAACAGTAGGTTCGCGGAGGCTAAAGAAAAAACGAAAACCTCTCAGGAAATACTCAGAAATCTCTTCTTGCCTCTGGGGTTTGTTTAACAGTGCAAGCCAAACGCAAACACAGATCAACCCCTTGTTGAAAACAGAGTCGTGCTTTGATTCACTCGGGCTGCAGCACCACGGTCTTGTGGCTGAAATATTGAGATTCAGCAATCAGTCTGCCTCCAGCTGAGGTCGGTTTGTTTGCCGACGGGCTTGTGATACTGGAGCAGTTGTACATCTTTCGCCAACCACTGTGGTGAGTTCACTGCCAGGCCCCCTTCTCATTTTCATCACTTCCGTATCTGTACCCGTATTGACGAGCAGAACCGGTGCTGAGGGGACTCTCTCTCTCTCTCTCTCTCTCTCTCTGTCTGTCTCTCTCTCTCTCTCTCTCTCTTTTCTTGCTCCATTTTTTTTTTTTTTTTTTTCGTCGGGGGGGGCAGATGTTTCGTTGAAAGCTGGCACCGGGGCCTTAGCAGTGACTTCAGGGAATAGAGCGGCAAGTGAGGGCAGCAGCGCGGGCTAAATGCAACAAACCTCTGGGGAAATACAGTCACAAGCTGCTTCTAATATGTTTGGCAAAGGTCCCCGAGCACTGCAGTGCAAGTTATATTTATTTGTTTATAATGTGATAAAATTCCTCCCTTTTTGTCTGCACACAAGCCTCTCATTTCGGCGAAACCGAGCCGGGGAGATGTTGGTGGAGCTCCAGGAAGAGGACCGATGCCAGTAGTTCAGTTTATTTTCACTAGCCACATTGCTTCATGGTCTAATTCAACACCACTCATCATTCTTAAAAGTATGCTTTTTGCCCGAGTGACAGAAATGGTTTTTGAGATTATTGCTCATGATTTAAATGGGGCTTACGGGAACGGATGTGCCTCACTTGTAAACTTCAAGCCATTTGTAAACGTTAATGGAGACGAATTATCACGCACATGTTGTTGAAACGGAAATTTAAATCTGAAAGTGTGGAAATGTGCCTCTGAAATCCATTTTGACGGTTCCATTCAATAACCACTGGGCTTTATCTCTACTAATGTACATTCAGATCGGGTTCAGCAGTTTTGTTGTTGACTCATTGTAACTGTTGTGTTTCGGACTAAGTGGCTGCAGAGTTCTGAGTGGCAGGAGCAGATCTTGCATAGCAAATTAACAAGAGTGCCTTAATCAAATACTGCAGTTGAAAAGGACATATGCACCCCATTAAGTCATTCTAATGTGTCTCAGCCTCTCCTCATGTTTGCTGTTTAATTGGCTTATTGGAGCCAGGATTCCTACTAATCCAGAAAGGGATACAATTACTTTTATCCTGGTCTTCTATTACACAAAATAAAGACGTCAGTGGTTAATTACTGCAGGCCTATTAGAGATGCATTCTCCTAATTGCCTGATTGGAGACCGTTAACAACTGGATCTTACAATGGGCAGAAGTTTGATTCTGTTCATTAGGCTTGTGTGCAGGCCAGAGATTGGCATAGGGTGGGGGTAGAGGGTTGGGGGGGTGGGACGGGAGGGCGGCACCATAATATGCAGCTTATCCGGATAACAGGAAACTGTAGGCACATTTTCAAAATAATGATCGGCAAAACTTAATTTAGAAATCTTAAGAAATGCAGCCACTTTTTTGGTTGGAAATGAAGTTTGCATTATTTTATTCCCCCGTCTCTATAGTTTCATTATCGCAAATTGCGCAGAGAAGGGAACCGATTGCCATGGCAGCCTTAATTTAAAAAAAGTTTGTCGCTCATAAAGACAAAGTGCAGATTTAACATTCAACATTAATGACGGCAGCTATTTCCGTCTGCTTAGTAATCGTGCTGAATCGATAGAGAGAGATCATAGCGCATCACCGTCTTCAGTGGCTCAACTTTCTGACTTAACAAGCAACCTCTTCATCACCTTTCCTCAAGTTTGTTTGTGTGCAGAAGCCACGAGAAAAGTTGCCATCCGCACTTCTCTCTCTCTTTCTTGTTCAACACCATTACTGTCAGCGAGACGGCCGACAGTTCGACAGACTGCCAGAGAGACATAGTGGGGAAAAGTAGGTCATGATGAACCATCAGAGGTGCTGACAGCTCTGTGAAATGAGCAGCTTCTTTGACATGAATACTAATCACTGTTGTTACCATCAGAAAAGTCTCCGCTGAAACCACATAACGCTACTTTCCCACTTGACTGGTGGAAACGCCAGCGGCTAGGTTATGAACGGTGGAATCTATCTGTCTGAACACGGCTCTTAATGACTCATCTGATAAGATTATGGAGCGTGGCTATTGAATTTTTAAATATTCTGTCAAAGAATAACCAACAAACACGATTTATTTGCGTTACCTCATTCCTCAGCTGGCATTTGAAACCATTTCTTGCTTTTATTTGACAAATTTGGGTCTGGTCAGTAGAAAAGGTCAGCCCTGAGACACTTTTAGTTATCCCTTATTGTATTTGTCCACTTCCTCCAGACCAGCAATTCATATTCGTTTGATGAACCTTAAAGGTCAGTCTTAAAACCTAAGGCAAATGGCTTTGCACAGCTGATACCTGAAGTGTTTTCTCAGATTCAGCTGTTGAATTTAGCCTTACACACTTTAAAAAGCCACATTGCTCTCGCTCAAGGATACATCAATAAGAACCAACTTTCTGTACAAATAGAGACCACTGCTGTGTACATTATGCAAACTTCAAACTATCTGTATATGGTAAAAGACTGCTTTGAGCCAGATGTGGTTTGAACACAGCCTCCTGTGCAGCCATTCTACCAAAAAGTCTGAAGGACTTTTGGTTAAAACATCTGGCACATGATACATGGATGATTTAGAAAACAGTATTTTTGCTATTTAGATGTAGGTTATTGAACATCATCTTGATGCTTTCTGCCATCCATACTCACTCATTTCTCTCTGCTTATTCTGGTCGATAACCGGTCTTTTAATCTGACCATAATTTACCAGAGTGGCTTTACAGTCCACATGCACTTATCATAAACACTCAATTTTGGTTCATAGCATCAACGCTATATTTAGAGTTAGGGAAATGTTTTCATTTTTACATCCTAAAAAACCTGAGGGAGACACACCCTGATGGCAAACGCAGTGTGTTTGTAGTGACTGTAGGAGGTACGGAACGGTGGAAAACCATAATTTGATCCCTGCCCAGCGGTTGCTCGTGTTACAGCAGCGTGTAATGAAAAGGATCTTTCAGACATGAGTCTAGTCTGTTTCTTAGAGTCACAGTGAAACCAATATGATGGTTTGGTACAGTTTTCAAGCTCCCCTCTGACTTTTATTAGCAATAATGATAAGTAATAAATATTTATAAAATTCAGCGACATCACTGTCATAGCCACATTTTTGTGTTGCCCTTGTTGGTTGTTGTCTGTTAGTGGCAAGACTTTTTGAAATGAAAGCAAGAAAATGAATGACTATATTTACCTGGAGAAAAAAAAATCTTGCGTTCTTGACATTTCTGAACTCATGAAGCTGCTGTAACACTTCACCAAACTTTATTATTCTCCCCCTCTTCACAAGGCTGTAAATCACTAATATCACTTTCAATTTTACTGCCCAGGTTCAAGCACTTCTTCTGGTAAACTGACCTAACAAAGTGTCCTTGAGCAAGACACATGTTGACTGTTTGACTACGTTGTGGTGTTTAGTAAAATATCACATCTCATTTCTAACTATAAATCTTGTTCTTTTTTTTCCCTAGGTCCAGAGGGTCTTGGCTTCAGCATCACATCTAGAGACGTCCCCATCGGTGGCAGTGCTCCCATTTATGTCAAAAACATCCTTCCACGAGGGGCCGCCATCCAAGATGGCCGACTGAAAGCAGGAGATCGGCTGCTGGAGGTGGGGTGGCAGTATTAAACAGCCTCTAACCATTAGTGTTTGGCGAGTGTGTTTTTTTTTAGATTTGTATTTTATTTGAGAGACTAATTCATCTTTTTTTCTAATGTGGCTTTGTTCCAAAATCCAATCTTATGGAGCTTTTGTTGAAATGAGTCAAACACACTGTGTTCCCTATGGCTATAACAACCCAGCTCCAGTTTTGAATTGCAGGGGAAAGTGGTTAGATGGAACAATATTTTGATTATACTTCAATCAGACTGACATGAAAATCAGCCAGTGCTCACTTTAGGGGGAAATAACCCATGTTTAATTCCAGCTCCAACTGGCTAGGACGGTAATCTGCATAAAGGTTATGTGGAGGCCAGAGATTCCTCCTCGTTAAAGTCAGAGATGTCTTTGATTTCAGTTTTGCCTCTGAGTGTGTGTGTATCTGTGTGTGTATTCATCATGGCCTGTATGTATGTGCTTATCTGTATATTTCTGACTGCATGTGTGTGTGTGTGTGTGTGTGTGTGTAGGTTAGTGGAGTTGACCTTAATGGTAAGACCCAGGAAGAGGTGGTGGCCCTGCTACGAGCCACACCCATGGGTGGGACTGTGAACCTGTTGGTGACTCGCCAGGAGGACTCCCTGCTGCCCAGAGAAGTGGTCAGTTCCTGCTCAGCAAATCACTATATAACCTTGTGTTTTCACTGCTTTCCCACTAGGAAACAAATACCTCTCTCTCTCTCTTTAACAATATATTCCAGGACCTTGGTATTTCCACATTTCTTTATAAATGAGTTATTTGATAGTAGAGGAGAATTATACCTTATTAAGCTGGCTACATGCTTCTTGGCGCAGGCTCCACAAGCACCTGTGCATGCCTGTGAATCTCCATAATTATGCAACTGTGGTCGGTCTGCTGACCCAGCGCGTGCCTCTAGAAATTTGAAGGTTTGCGGTCGCGCTGACTCTGCGTCGTGGCACCAACATCTTCACCTCCTTTTCCGCTTACTTCCAAAAAAACAAATCACATAACCAAAGTGTTCATAAAGAGCAGAAGAACATACAAGCAAGTAGAGACCACCAAAAGCAATGAACTCACTTTAGGAATCTGGTGAAGGTCACTTGATGTGTAACATCACTGTACAGCTGGAATATTCGTCATGGTGGCTGCACTGATGTGACTTTAACTGCTCCCTCCGTCCATCAACTTTCTGCACAGACGGTTTTAAATTCTTGTATCTTCTGTGTAATTCTAGTCTTATAAATCAACATGATTGTGAATTATAAGTGATATAATTTTGAAATTTCATGTTGATATTGAAGTTTTTTTAGTGTTGCAACAGTGGCTTTGAGGTCCATGTGCATCAAGTATTTGAACAGAATGAGAGTTGAGAATCATATGAACACATGTGGCTCTTAAAGTGTAAGGATGGGCCGGTGTCGGCACAGAACCAACCAGTGACTGCATGGGATGTGCACAGAGAAACACAAATACAGCTATAGGCATAATCGCACTCTCTGTGCAACTGTGTTCTGCACGTGCTCACACATGCACATCGAAAACACACAGACTTGCACAAACAAGAGCTAATGATGTGCACAAGCAGACATGCACACACACATATGCATGCACAGACACCCTCAAATGACGTGACTGAGCAGACACCATTTTTAGCTTTGGACATATTCACACACACCCACAGTCGCACACATGCACTCTGGACACTGACATGGACACATTCCCCAAGCACACACTCCCGCTCACAGACACACAGCCTACATACAGGGTGACTTTGGCTGTCGTGTAACAGATGGTGAGGCTACTGCCCTCGTCCAGCCTGCGCTCAGCGGCTCTGACAGCGGGCTATGGGCGTCACTGCTCCTTGGCAGACCAGAGGCCCCTGATGCCAACCTCACCTCCTACCCATAATACTCAGCCTGGCACCTGGGTTGTTAACCCCGCCATAGGAGCTGTTCAACCTGCAGAAAAATAGTCCTCTGAGACACATTTTACTCTGCTAATGTGCTGTTTTTACAATTAGAAATGCACCACCCCCTAAAGTTAGCTACGTTTCAATCGGTCTACATCTTTACTTAAATTTTCCCATTCATAAAGCAACAAATGGGACACATATTGCATTCCTATTTGTTTTAAAAAGTCCCCAAAAGTCCCAGCTTTAAGTTGAAGAACCTGTCGTTAAAAGTGTGTTATCTTCCTGTGACTGTACGTGATGTCATCGGCTGCTTCTGGCATCACGTGTGTGACCTTCAGGTTACTCGAAATGCTCTTTAACTACTCCATCCAGCGCTCAAATGCTAACTGGTGGGGATCCAACAAACTGATTCATGCCTCTCCTCAGCAGCCTTGACAGCAGTTGAATGATGCTGTGAGGAGTGTTAAAAAATGCATGGCTGCCCCCGGCCTGTCGACTCGTGAGTGGTGTTGGTGTGAGAGTTTGATGGCTACACTCTCTCAGCTCCTCAGGCATGACGCGATTAGAAAAAGTCCATCATGGAAACAGTGTCTAATAATCTCTTTCTCTCTGTTTTTGTTTGTTTTCTCTTCACCACCTTCTACACGCTGTGAGAGACAGTTAGTTAATATTTCATCACTTTCCCCGCCATTTAGCAGTTTGCTCTCCTTCACTGTTTCTTTTTTCTCTCTCTCTCGCTTTCACATTTCATAGCAGTGCTTTCACAAATCTCAATAATCCCTACAAGTATGTTCATAAAAATCAGATAAGGAGGCCAAGGCTCTGCCGGTGACAGTTATTGCAAATAAAGCATGGTGGAAAAGCATGGTTGGTAATTGCCTCCTCTGTCCCCACACTCCGGATGGGTGAGTGTGTGTGTGTGGGTGTGGGTGTGTGGGTGCGCGCATGTGTTGCACACACATAAACACACATGTATGGACGAGCGTTTGCGTGCTGTCATTCATGTAACTCCCTCAATGATAATGCGATGACGTTTTAAATTGCGGCGTGAGTGACGTGCCAGAGAACTGCAGGCATCTGTCAAAGAAATATTGCCTTCACACATGCACACACTCAGACAGGCGCGCGCGCACACACACTGGCAGAGAGATCCAGCTGTATTGATGAAAATAGAAAGGAGCTGGTTTTTTTTGTCTAGTTGACATTTGCCTGCTGATGTTTAATGTCAGCTCTGAAAATCCCTCCACATCTCCTTTTGTTTAGATGTTTTATTGTGTGCCAGGCGTTCTGCACGCGCCCCCAGAGGAATTAATTTACCCTCCCAGCATGTTTGCGTTCCGTCTTTAATTACCACGGTAGGGGTGTATTTTGACATGCTTTCAGGAGCAATAGCTGTAGCTCTCGATAGCTTTCGATAAATATGTGCTCACTGGGAAGAGAAAAGGTTAAATGGCAATAGAGCAGAGTGGGGCGTTGCCTCTGCGATCTCCCCCTGTCTTTGTCTGTGTGGTTACTGCTCCCTCTGCACTCACAGGGATATCAGTAATATGTTGTATCAGAGAAGAAGTGCAGCCCTAACCTGCACCAAACTCTGAACTCGTCCTCGCTACTAAACCTGCTTTTGAAAACCTCTCTCCACATAATAATATCCTATAATATACCAAGTGGAGGAAACTGTGCAAGTCTTGGTTTTCTGTTTTGCTGTACATGTTTGGTTCTATTGGCTGTAACCTGTGACCTTCAGGGTTATAAGACGTATTCATTAAAACAACTCAGGACATACAGACAGAGATTTCTCAAAAAGCTTTAACTTGAACCCTGAAGACGCAGCAGGAGGTTCTGATCAATGGCTATGTGAACAAAATCACTTGTCAAGTAAGGTGCTGTTCCTTCACTCTGACGGCTCTGGGATGTCGGATCAGTGATCGCGAGGCAGGATTACGACAGACTGAGGAGAAGTCAGAAGGGCCGCTGCTCCCTACAGGTTAAGAGTATATAGGAGTAAGTAACATAACTTGCTGAAAACCCTGGATATACATGAAGCTATATAGTAATTCAGTGCTTTGTGTTATCTATAGATAACAGCTTCATGCATGATCTCTTGGTCACACCTTTGTAGTGAGCTTCAGTAAAGGGGAAAGTAAGTTAAGAAAGAGGGGTGCAATTGCATCTAACGGGATGAGATGAAGGTGTGAGTTCAGAAAGATGGGTGAGCATGAGGTGGCAATAGAAGAAAAAAAAAATATAGCTACAATCCAAAAGTTCTGATAATAAAAATACGGATAGATTGGAGGTGGGTGGACGTAGTATTCAGATAAAAAGGCGCGATTCTGTCGAAACTCTCCCATCTATTACAAACCATTCTCTCCCCTCATCTCTTGTCATTATTCAGATGCAATTATGCTGACCACAGTAAAGTATTACAATAGAACAACACACACACACACACACACACACACACACACACACACACACAAACATAGAAACAGCAGAGGTACATTTAAACACACACACATACTGCACATCTCCCACGCACAGCCAGTGGATGTTACATATTGTAGGTATTTATTTCCCAGCGTGCACCGCTGTTTGCGCTTACAGCTGCGAGCAAAGCTGTTCCTTTAGTCCACATCGCCCAGCTTTGTGGATTGTTGTGTTCTCAGCTCCGCCTTTTATTGCTGTAATAACCAAGTCAAATGTCACACCTCACTTTACAACAAGAAACGGCAGCAGTCAAAAAAGATGTCCGTCTACACCCCCGATGCAGCTCCGCATGAAGTCCCCTGTTGTGGTGCCATTTAGAGCAGACGCAGCAAAACAAAGGCAGGGAAATATAATCTGTGGCTACCAGTTTGTTATTACATAAACAATTAGTTGGGATGAAATACAGCGCAGGCCTGCCCCCATGTCCCCACTGATGACAAATCATTTTAATTCTTTCTAAACCCCTTGCTACAGTGTAAGTGAATTAGCCTGTAAGCATTGCTGCTGTGTCAGCATGACTGATGTGATCTCAACTCCTTGTCTTACGGACACACACACACACACACACACACACACACACGCATACACACAGTAAACATATTTTAAAATAACACCACAATTGCTAAACCATGTCACGTAAAACCTGACACACAATATGGGCTTGACTAGTCACATATGCTCAGGTGCCATTATACCGTTGTCCACACTTCCCCTTACATCATTCTGTGACCCTACATGAGCAGTATTTTTCTTACGTCCAATGGGACTATGGACTGTGGAGAACAAATGGGCTCGTGAAGCCTCTGTTGTAACACTGCCGACCACATAAGAGCAATCAAACAGTACATTAAAATCCCCTCTTTATGATCATATCACACTTGTCACTGATCCATTAGTAGCTATATCTGCCAAGCAATGAGAATCTTAATTGCGCAATTAATTCCGGCCTCTGATTGATGCGACAGCCAAATTTATGGCTCGTGCAAATGCCGAGGACGCCATAGACAAATGCGTGACAGTATTGCTGACAATTACAGCAGACTAATGGCCTGTTTCATAAGTGCCAACCCCGGTGGCCTAGTTTAAAATCCTCCCTGCCATGTTTTTACCACTGTGCTGTAATTGAGGCATTCAGACATACTCCATTTTAAGATTTGTTTTAGCTGAAATGATGCTATTTATATAAGTTCCTGAAATAGTTATATACAGTAGAAATAAAAGCACTCGGTTCCCTGAAATGGT